GTCTTTGAGTGTAAATTCAGTGTTTGTTCATACAGAGTTAAGCAATTATCACCACTACTTAATTTTAGAATATTTCCATGATCCCTAAAGAATCTCTACACACATAAGCAATCACTACCCATTTTCTCTATATTTTGCCCCTGGAAACCACCAATCTACTTACAATCACTATAGATTTTCCTACTCTGGACCTTTCATATAGTAAATGGAATCATATGATATATATAGTCTTTTATGACAGGCTTTTTTCACTCAGCATTATGCTTTCAATTTGTATCTATGTTGTAGCATGGATGAGAACTTCTTCCCTTTTTATGGCTGAATAATATTCTATATATAGAATATATAGAATATTCTATAATATATAGAATATTATTCATTTTAAATATTATTCATTCATATATATTTTTTAAAGCCCAAAGATATTTTATTTTAGGCAGAAAAAAACTTTTCTAAACTTTTTTTCTTGGTGTCATTTGAAATTAAGAATAAAACATTTACTAGAATAAAATGTAATGCAGAATCTTGTTGACCTGCAGTCTGCTGATTCTGGATCTGCCCTTTCGTAAAGCTCTATAAGCTTTCCTTTTATCTTCGATATTCTTAAGTTTTTCTATAATGTGCGTAAGAGTGAAGGGTTCTGTCCCAACTTATTCATCTTGTTTCACACCCTGTGAGCCTTTTCAATCTAGTTTTTTTCATTTTTTTTGGTTTATTTGTTTTATCTATTTACTCAGTGCAATTCTTGGTCATTAATTCTTCAAATACTTTATTCCTTCTTTTCATTTTTAACATCTCCTTCTGGGAATCCAGTTACACAGACACTTACCCTGTTATTTCTTTTATATTTTTTTATGATTTTATTTTATTTTACACTAGGTGGTGGGCACAAAGCAATCCTCCTTAATAAAGTTGACAATTAGCTTCACTCAGAACATTTTTAATAAACCACATTAACAAAAAGTATTACTGCAAATTGTTCTGCAATCCAAAAATACAATAGCTTGGAAAAAAACGTTTAGAAAACAAAAGCCAATGTAAAAAGATAGATTAAAAACAACTAAAACAGTGCAGATTTTGTATGGCTCTGATTTCACCATTTCTTACTGTATCGTCAAAGTCAAAAATCCTTTCCTCCCGCTGGCTCCATTGCTCAGGACTTAAAAAAAAAAAAAAAAAAAAAAAAAAAGAAAACACCTTTCTTCCTGGGTTCAGTTCACCTCAGGATCCACCCAGTATTCTCTAATATAGGCCTTTTCCTTTAAAGTCCCCAATGCTGACGTGCCTTTTTTTCCCAACCTGAGGCGTGTTACCCTGTCTGCTGCTGCTGCTCTGCTTGGAGGATGGCAGAGCTCTTGACGTTTCATCTGTCTTTTGCTTCTTTACAGCTTTTTCTGGAGTAATGTGCTTCTTCCTCTTTCACTCTGTCACCTTCACTGTCAGAATCACTGCCAGAAGAGCTCAAAGAAACAAGTTCTTTGATTTAGGCACTGCTCTGCCCCCACCCTGTTATTTCTGTGGCAAACAGCCTTTCTTCTCTTTTACATGTTCCATCTCTTTATTACTTCCCAATACCTTCTAAGAGAGTTATTTGAACTGGTCTTCCCATTCATCAATTCATCATCAGCTGTGTCGATTCTGCTGCTTAATCTAATTGTTGCGTACTGAAGGGAAATCAGACTTGTCCTCTCCCCAGGAATGTCCACTAGGGCAGGAGTTTAACCTACAGTCAGCCAACCAGAGGCCCATGGCCAGGATTTTGGACCTTGGAGTTGTGACACAAAGGGACCCATTCACAGAGGCAGTGGCAGTGTCCAGACCCAACGTTGACAGGTGCAATGTGGGGGGTGGTGCCAGTATCAGTCCTGTACAGTGACTTGGTTGTGTTCTCAGAGGTTTAAACCCTCTTAGTTCCCATACTGACACTGACTCTCTGGCCTTCCCATGGATTCTTTGAGATAGCCTATTCTCTTCCAACAGGTTTACTATCTCATATGAAGTTGAACATATGAATTGGGTCCTGGGAGAAGTATAGGAGAGTTGAAGCGCCAATTACTTTCTTCTACATAATTCAGATTCTGTAGATACTGTCATAAGTTGTAGTTCAAATAAATAAAGTTTAAAAACAAAGTACTTAAAGTTTTAAAATGAATGATTGGTAGAATGACAAATAAATAAAACTAATCAAATTTAGGAGAGGGGAACAGACGTGTGGTTAAGTGAGATACTCCCCCAACTTTGATGAATGGGATTCAGAAGTCAAAGTTCAAAGTTGATAAAACCAAGTAAGAGAAGCAAATCTTATTATTTTGAGTTGTGAAAATAATCACTGGAAGAACTAAGGTAAATGGTAAAATATGACTATATTTGGTTAGTGAGACATTCTAGAGAGTAGAATGGGCAAGTATTAACACTTCATTTTCTACACCATTTAAATATTTTTCAGTCCTCCTGTGGCCACATCGTCACAGATCATACCCCATGATAGACAGGAATGCTAGTATAGTAATATGTACATACAAGTGTGCATGGAGCCAACTGCAGTGCTGCAGCTCTGAGAATGCAAACTATAAAAGATTTAATTACATAGGAATCAAGTCAAGAACACAGATTTGCCTCCAGATTTGTTTTCTTGGATAAAACACAAAGCAGCCTCACTCCCATCATGAGCTAAATCAGGTTCAGAAAAGGAAGGAAATCCAATCCCAAAAGGTGACTGGGAAAATGCAAGTGTTTTATCCCTAGGAAAAGCAAGTCTTAAAAATGTCCATCTGTCATGATTTGACCTTGACTCCCAGGCCAAAACCAAACTTGCAAGATTAGTTGCTTATTTAATCTGTTTAAATACTCCTAAACTTGAGCATTCCACAGGCTAAGGCTAGCATAAATTCTTTCAAGTATGAACAAGAGCGACTTAAGATTTACTGGAATACACAACAAGACTTGGAGTCCAAAATTCTGGGACTGTTTTACCTGCATTTTTACCAATTGATAGCTGATGATCTTGAGACAATTATCACTCCAGCCCAAGTATTTTTGTCTATAAAATGGGCTTAGCATCACTAACTGCATAGAGTTGCTATTAAAACATAATTAAATTATGGACTATATACAAGAATACTTGATAAAATGTAAAGTCCTAAAAATATATTAGGTACTATTATTATCATTACAACAGTTGGTCACAAAGGACATCTGTATAAACATAGGTATGGCATAATGAAAAATTCATCCTGCTACTAAAAATATAACCAAGGAGAAGCATCTCTCTACGTGAAAAGATGGGTTATCCCAGAAGGCAAAAGATGGTGCTTGACCTCACACAACTCACAGTGGTGTCAGCGGAGCCAGCTCTCCCCTTAAGGATTAGCATCCACATGGGCCTACCATGAACCTCAGTCCACAACTTTCAGTAAGGAAAAGACTCATGTTGGAGAGAATAGATTAATAAAATAGATTAACATGGTATATAAGAAGTGAAAAAAAAATTAGGTATATTAAGGATTGTCCATTAGATTCCAGATCCCCTAAAACTAAACCTAAAGCCATGTGTTTAAACAAGGCTAAAACTTAAGGCTGAGAAAGTACATAGAGAGAAGGATGGGATCCAGGGGAAGGCAAAGCTAGCTCTTCAGGAAGGTAGCATGTCCAGGAAAGAGCCCTGGCCCAGCAGTCAGGACACGAAGCTCTGGTCCCAGCACTGCCATAGGCTCTCTAGGAACCTCTGCGCCGGCCATGGCCCTCTCTGGGCCTCAGTTTCTTTATAATATAAAGAGAAAGAGAAGTTGTAAGATTAGTGAGCACAGCAAACCGATCATTTAGAAAATATTTACTAAGTGCCTATGATGGGCTAGATGGTGTTCTAGGCACCAGGAACCTAGAAGAAAACAAAAGTAGACAGAGTTCCTGACGCTACGGAGCTGACTCTACATCAACTCGAAGACATGCATGCTCAGACTCCAGCTTCAGGCTGCAGAAATGCCAGCGTGGGCAGTGTGGATGGTACATGACCAGAGAGGATGCGGCCTGACCTCTTCAATGAGAAGTGTTCTTTTTGAGAGCAGACGCAAATGCCCCTCACACCCTTCTTGCCCCAGTCCAGGTTTGGACTTTGAAGCTTAATACAGATCATGGTGGCTAACTGACTTTTATGACACAAAGAACCTTCCAGAAATATAAAGATGATTTGTTGTTGTTTTTTAATTAGATAACTAGACCTACTATCTTAAGTAAGTGAGAAAATTATTAGATTATATCTTTTTTAAAAGCTTATCCAAAATGACTAACATTAATGCATAGGTGAATTTTCATAAAATTCATAATCACTGAATTAATTGTTCCTAATCTGTTTTCTATAATAGAAAAATGTAACTTATAGATGTAATTTTAAAAGAAATTAATTACTTACTATATATATATATATAGAACAGAGCATCCTTTTACCAAACATAAAGCCCAAGTATTAATTTCTTTTTTCTTTTTCTCTTTATTTAAATATTTTATTGTTGACACTATTGCAGATGTCCCCCATTTTCTCCCCCTTTGCCCACCTCCACCCAAGCCTCTGCCCTCCGGGGTTGATTTCTATAATACATGAAAATAATGTACTTTGCATTGCCAAGAGAGAAATAATTTGATTTTTTAAAATATATTTTTCTTGATTTCAGAAAGAGGAAGAGAGAAAGAGAGCAAGATAAAAACATCAATGATGAGAGAGAATCATTGATTGGCTGCCTCCTGTATGCCCCTCACTGGGGATTGAGCCACAATCTGGTCATATGCCCGACTGGGAATCAAACTGTGACTTCCTGGTTCATGGATCAACACTAAACCACTGAACCACACCAGCCTGGCAGTATTGAATTTTATTCTGTATTTTCTGTTGCCCATTTGTGTGAAAAAAGGAAAAATTTAAAAGATATAAAAGTCTTATAGAGATCTATCAAAGGAGTGTCTCAAAAGAGCATCCTGATCACTGCTTTCTCTGCAGCTCACAAGCCTCAGGACTTCCAAGCATGGCCCGCTGTCTTCCACAGGATTCTCTGACAAGCCTGCTTTATCCTGGGATTCCCCATGATCAATATGACAGAATGAAGAGAAGGATAGGCAGCCATGACTGTCTCTGAGATGAAGATAGTGGTGAGATCAACAGGAGAAGTCTTGGATTTGATAGAGTAGGGGCTGGCCACGATGTAAACCAAGTAAAGTATAAGGAAGCAGACCAAGGACTTCAGGACAGTGATGTGAGCCTTGGCTCGAGCATCATTCCGGCCAGCTGTATGGACCTTCATCTTCTTATGATGTCTATACAGAGAGACCATTAACATCCCAGAGGAAATTAGAAACACCAAGAAAGGAAACCCACTTCCTGCATTGAGCTGTAATATATACAGGTACTGCCAGTCTGAAAGGGAGTACAGAATGCTGCTGTTTCCTTGGAAAGGACTGTGGGGCTTCAAGCCAACATCGGCTATAATTAGCAGATTGATCAGGAGGCACCCCAGAAAACACCAGGCACTCAGGCTATAGGCCCTCTGCTTCAGCCATAGGTAGACAGGGTGTTCAAAGGTCGTGATCTTCTTGCAGTAGAAGACACTGAGGAAAGTGGCAAACCACAGGCTGGCCTGGCTGACCACAACCCAGAAGACACTGATATAGCGAAACCAGATGCAGCTCTTGAAAATAGAAAACAGTATTAGGTCCACCATAATCAGGCACTGCAGGAGAAGTCGGCAGCCAGCCAGGCCCAGGACAATGAGGCTGTAGGAGGACTCCTTGAGTTTTCTTACCCATTCTACAAAACTCCAGACCACAAGGACTCCATTTCCAACCAGGCCAATGAGAAATTCGGTCACTGCCACCACCATCAGCAGTCCTAGGGTGGCAATATGCATGGCTGAGGAAGGAGTCCCTCACGACAGGCTCAGGAGGTGCCCTGCTTCCCTGCTGATGAACGTGTACAGCTCCTGGCTGAGCTTCAGATCCTCTGAGGGTGACACCACACTCACGGTAAATTTTCACACCGCAAAATGTGGATTTAGCCTTGCCCTTCTGTAACCTGTCCTCAAGCAGAGTCTGAACAGCTGTGACCAGGAACAGACAGTTCAGAAGTTATGATCCCCTCTGTATTTGCATACACATGAATGAACTCTGACCCTAGACTCAGAGATATGAAACAGTAGAACAGACACTAACTTTCCTCCTCCAGGGTCACGAGCTAACATCTAGACACCAGCATGTAATATGATAAGACCTCCCAAAAAGAAAGGTGGGATCAAAACATTCTCAGATTCCATACCTTGCCAGATGTAAGCTCTTATGTATAACAATAAATTTTATTTTCATATAAAGAACTTTGAACATATAGGCATAAAAGCTGAATAAATGCAGACATTTTAAAAATATTTCATTATCAAAGAGATAGAAGTAGGGGAAGTTTTGAGAAGAAATCAATCAAAGAACCAAACATTAAGTGCCAAATAATAAAAAATATAGGTTAGGTAGAGAAGCCATTCTTGTTAATCAGGATCTTGAAGTCACTTGCCCTTTATGATAACGATCATCATACACTTGACTTGGCATATACCTCACATTAAGGTCTTAGAGAAAGGAAATGAGGAAGAAGATGAGCTCAAAGAAGTGAAAAAAAAAAGACTAGCACAGTTATCAAAAAATATAGGGAATGTGGGAGACTTCGCAAGAGACTCCCTCTTGCAGCTCGGCCACCAACATGCCATCCAGACTGAGGAAAACCGGAAAACTTTCAGGCCACATGAGCCATGGCCACGGCTGCATTGGCAAACACAGGAAACACCTTGGGGCAGTGGGTGCGGGGTGGGGGCACAGGAATTCTGGTGGCTTGCATCATCACAGGATCAACTTAGACAAATATCACCCAGGTTACTTTAGTATGAGGCATTACCACCTAAAGAGGAACCAGAGCTTCTGCCCAACTGTCAACCTTGATAAACTGTGGACCCTGGTCAGTGAGCAGACACAGGCAAATGCTGCCAAGAGCAAGACTGGAGCTGCTCCTATCACTGATGTGGTGTGATCGGGCTACTACAAAGTTCTGGGGAAGGGAAAGCTCTCAAAGCAGCCTGTCATTGTGAAGGCCAAATTCTTCAACAGAAGAGCTGAGGAGAAGATTAAGGGTGTTATCGGGTACTGTGTCCTGGTAGCTTGAAGCTGCATGGAGGGAAGTTCATTAAAATGTCCACAAGTAAAAAAAAGAAATATAGGGAATGTGCTTCATTTATTGTCCAGATTCAAACTTCCCTGGGACTGGCCCAACACAGATGTGTTTGTGGAAGACTAAATTCTAAGATGGCCCATGACTCCCACTCAGAATAATCCTTGAGCTGCAATAAATGTCTGTACTTACATTACATGGCAAAGATGAAGGGCTTCTGCAGATGTGATTAAGATCCCAAATCATTCAAGTTTGAGTTCATCAAAAAGGAGATTATCCTGGGTGGTCCCAACTTAATCACCTAAAGTCTTGGAAGAGGGACAGGGCTCTCCTGCCAGCCTTGAACAGTCCAGCTGTCACAGGAGAGAAACTGCAGGAAGCCTAGATTCTGAGACTGGCCTCCAGTTGACAGCTAGTAAGAAAACCTTAGTCCTACAACGGCAAAGAACTGAATTCTTTCCACAACCAGTGAGGTCAAAGGAGTGCTCTGAGCTCCAGGAAAAGTACAGCCTAGCCAACATCTTCACTGCATCCTGTGAGACCTTGCAGAAAGAGTCCACTAAGGCTGTGCCCAAACTTCCTGATCCCAGAAGCTGTGACACAACGAATGCATATCCCTTTAAGCTTCTAAGTTTGTGTTGCTACACAGGAAACAGAAACGCAGCACAGTGTTCAAACCAGGCTAGAAGCAACTTTGAGGAAATGAGGAGAAAGAGGAATTGGATGAGAAAGAGGGAGGAAGGCTGGGCTAGCTTTTTAGGAAGGCAGCATGAGTGTGGTGGAAAGAGTTCTGTAGGAGGAGTCAGGAGCTCCAACCTTTGGACCCAGAGCTGTCTCAGGCGTTCTACAAAGCTGCAGGAAAACCACTGCCCGCTCTGGACCTCAACTGGTCTACTAATAATACAATGGACTTTAGGATCAGATCTCCATTCATTCACATAGGGTAAGAGTGCATACTATGTGCCAGGCAGTGTACCAGGCACAGGAGCACAGCAGTAAGCATGCACAGCCCCTGCTTCCAGGGAACACACCTTGTAAGACCTGGGGCCTGTGGCTGTGGAGGCGCAGAAGAGAAGGTCATAATCTGCCACAGGCCAGAAAACCTGGGTGAGAGATGAACCTCTCCACTTTTATTGAATTTATCAGGGTGACATTGATTCATTGCAGCGTTACTTACAATAGCCAAGATCTGGAAGCAACCCAAGTGCCTATCAGTAAATGAGAGGATAAAAAAGCTGTGGTACATTTACACAATGGAATACTACTTGGCCATAAAAAAAGACGGAAATCTTACCTTTTGCGACAGCATGAATGGACCTGGAGAGCATTATGCTAAGTGAAATAGACCAGTCAGAGAAAGACAAGAGCAGGGTTTTTATGGTGACTTTTGACAGCAGATATAACTGCTCCTCTCTCAAACCCTGCCCTACCCCTCTCTCGGTTCTGGGCAGTGGAACATCATACAAAGCATAGTAGTTGACTAATGTGTATCCAGAAAGCCTAGACTGGCCTAAAATATAGATAGATATAGATAGATATAAATATATAGATAGAGATAGAGATATAGAGATAGATAGAAATTGTCATAAATATAATAGTTTCTTGATAGACTATTTTATTACTGGTATTAAGCAAGGCTAAACCCAGTCAGAGAAAGACAAATATTATATGATCTCACTCATATGTGGAATCTAATGAACAAAATAAACTGATGAATGAAATAGATCCAGAGACATAGAAGCATGGAACAGACTGATGAATCTCAGAGGGAAGGCCTGGGGAAAAGGCTCACTTATAGAGGGGGAGATTAACCAAAGAACTTATGTGCATATATGCATAACCCATGGACATAGACAACAGTGTAGTAAAGGCCTGGGGAGCAGGTGGGTGTGGGATAGAGGAGGTTAATGGAGGGAAAAGGGGACATCTATAATACTCTCAACAGTAAAGATAAATTTTAAAAAATAACATTAATTTTTAAAAGGCTAAACCACACAGGAAATTGAGATAACTGGTTAAATCCAATAACAAAAATGATTGCCTAGCCCCGTGGTTAAAGTAGACCTATGAGCCAAAAGGTCACCATTTTGATTCATGTCAGGGCACAAGCCCAAGCTCCAGGCTCAATCCCCAGTGTGGGTACGCAGGAGGCAGCCAATCAATGATTCTCTCTCATCATTGATGTTTCTATCACTCTCTCCCTCTCCTTTTCTCTTTCTGAAATCAATAAAAACATATATTTTTAAAAAAAAAATTTAAAAAGAAAAATGCCTAAAAAATATCTAGCAATTAATGTACAGAGTTGTATTTTTTGAAAAACACACATTATTTCAAAATAATAGCTATTTTCTACTTCCCTTCATCAGGGGAGACATAGTGTGTTGGTGAAGAAAATTGAATTATCTGCAGCAATTTAGAAAAATGTGATACTTCCCATGCAAAACATGAAAACTCAGTTTTGTGTTCTGGGTTTTATTAAAATAATGTACTTTGCATTGCTTGGGGAGCAATAGCTCTGGTTTCTACTCTGTTTTTCATATTACCCTCGTATTTTATTTCAAAATCAAAGAAGAATTGAGAAAAAAAATGTTAACTTTACTTAATTTTACAGTAAATTAATTGTATGCTGGCAATCGTCTGGAGTAGGGCTAACTAGATCTTTTTCCCATGCCATGGCCTCTAGTATCTTCCACCCCAGCCCACCTTCCACAGAATTCTCCAATAAGTCTGATTCCTCGTGGCCATTACAACAGAATGGAGAGAAAGAAGTGTAGGCCACCATGTGTGTCTCAGAGATGGGGCAGTGGTGAACTAGGAGAGGGAAGAGATGGAGATTATGGAAGAAGGATAGCCATCACACAAAAAGCCAAGTCGAGGAGAAAGAAGCAGCTACACGATTTCAGTTTCAAAGACTCGGGTCTGAAACCTTCACCCAAAAAAATGCCCTCCCCCATGAAGTTGCAAGGCTAAGTACAGCTCCATCCCTCGTCTACATCTGACATAGCTCACTGACCCTGTGTATTCCAGCACACAGGCAGCTTTTTCAGGGCCTCCTAGAATTGTGCCCGCATTGCCACTAGATGGCGTCAGGGCAGCTCTTCTATAGCAGCTGTTAACCTAAGGCAAAGCAGTTCTCTTAATGAGCGGAATGAGTCCAGAAATTCAGAAACTGAGACGCCTAAGCACATCATTAACAAGCATGTGTAACAGGAACAAAAAGTGCAGCGTATATATATTCAGAATTTTTCCAGCCTCTTTCCCACCACCCTATGAAGAGGTGGGGTTGGGGCTCTGGTTTGGTATAATTTAGGTCCTGGGAGGGGGAAAGGAAGCATTCCTGGCCTGCATGCAGCAAGGATCACAGTCTTAGAGGAAGAACGTGATAAGCATGAGCAGGGATGGAGACCGTGAATGAAGAAAAGCACAGAATGGGGCGACTCGGCAGATGAGAGAGCAGGAGCCCTTTTTGTCTGCTTCCGTAAGTATGAAGATTGGGGAAGAGAGCTAAGCACAGTAGACAAGATTCAGGAGGCCCCTGTAGGAAGCTGGGCTTCATTCCCTTTCCCTTGGGAGTGAGCTGGACTGAGAGATTTCTAAGAAAGAGAGTCTGAAAAGGGAACTAGAGAATGGGGCAGTGGAGAAACCCAGCAAACACCACCTTAACCAAGCCATCGAGGGTCACATGACCAGTGATAAGCCATA